GAAGTGAAAGATGATAAGTTATTGGAAGAGTATATAAACAGCAGTAGGATCAATATGACAATTAGACAAGTAAATCCCTAACAAATACGTTTTTTAATAAATTTTCTAGTTTCTAGTCTTTGATACTTTCAGATTTTCTACCTTATTCGGTTATAGTTCTAAGACGTTGAAGAGACGTCATGATCGTGGGTTTATCGAAAACTGTTACAGTTTGACTGAGTTTCCGAGAAGATTTATTCACAATGTATGTTCGAGTATATTGGCTATTGATTGACAGTTTTGCAAAAGTAATGAGAGGCTAGTAGTTGAAAAGCATATACTCGAAGCATGACTTGGATGTGAATGTATATCTGAAGGAGACTTACATAGGTTTGGTCAAATATGCAATTCAGAACTATGTTCCAAGAAAAGTATATTAAAAGAGTGATTGGAGAAATACTAGAGGAGAAGATGAAGAATATCACCAACAACAAAATATTTTCCATTCAGCTGTCTTCAAACAATACATGAGTGTGTGAGTGCAGTTCACATCACAAGATGCTTAGAGCGATTACAAGATGCAACGTGTTCATCAAGTGCCATTCCCCCAGAAGAAGAAATTCTTATGAAACTCTTCTCTAAAGCCGATATTTTGCGACGATAGATTGATGTGAACTCGAGAATATCGTAAAAAATCAAAAAAAAAGAAAATGAAAATATGATTTATTGATTCAAGTTACGGGATACAAGCTTTGTGTTCAGCGTTTCTTTTCTTTAGACTACAATTTTTCGGCTGTGTCTGAGTCGTCGTATGAATTATCAGCGCCGCGAGTCCTCATTTTGTTTTCGTCTGCGTGTCCAGAGCCAAGCTCTGGACCAGATTTATCCTCATATATTTGTCGTTTCATCCGTTTCATATTCTGAACGGCTCCCTCCTGAAACATAAGAGATGATTGTTAGATTTGGGAGATGCGAAAACTTGTTGTTCCATTGGTAGGGGTTGGACCATCTCTTTTGCAAAAGCAATTTTTTCTTTTTTAGTCGTCAAGGGATCTTCAACCATATCGTGCACCTTCAAAGAGGAATGGAGGGACTGAGCATGAGTATACGGCGAATCATACCTGCTTAGCATCCAATGAATCCGCCTCTAGCGAGCTGACAAGGGCACTGCCCAATAAGATGGAGTAACAGAGAATATCACGGAGTTTAGGAGACATTGAGAAGTTCTTCAATGGTTGGTATGTTCATGTTTCCGGCCTTTTTATAGTTTTCATAGCCTAATTAGGTGAGGATGATCTTTGTTTTCAACCTTAATTCAGAAAAAACACAAAAAAAGAGAAAATTAACCAGATTTACAGTTCACCTGGTGCGATGAGAATCATACATCAGGTGTTAAGGTAGATTCCTGGTTGAGAGAAGTCTAGTCTAAGAGCCTCAGTAGTTGGAATTCCTTCCTCTGTCTATATTATTTCAGTTTTACTATTATAGAACACTCGGCAACCATGATAGCCATTCAGAATAAACCTTGTTTTTTTGATCTGTTCTAATCCCGATGATAGCAAATGTAATTTTGACAGTAAATACGTTCATCTGGGGTATTCAGAAAAACAGTTGACAGCCATTCCCCATGTTAATCTTCGAAAACAGTTTGTTCGAGCAATTCATAGATCTAGACGATTTCCATAAGAGTTCATTGATTGTTGTTATGATAGACCAAGTCAACTGATCAGTTTCATATGCGAACAGTTCTCAAAGAGTCAAGTGCGCTGCTGATTACTCGAAGTTCCTGATAGGAATGGAAGAAAAACAAAGAACAAAATTAACTTCCCTAGTGTGAAAGATAACAATTTCTCAGTTCGAATGGATTCGAATCAGGGGAGCTGCTTTCTCATTTCTCATCGTTTTAAGACTGTTCTTGAGTACTATCAATGGGCACCCGTACACTTACTCAAAGGTGTCGAATGGTAGGTGAATCTCTTCTTTCCACTTCCTACATTCTCTATAGGTTCTTGCAAATGCGCCAGAAAGAGGACAATGTAGAAATCGTTTTATTCTTCAAGCCAGAGAACCGCCTAAACCAAAGTGATAAGTACTGTAGAGCCATTGCCAATTTGAGACTAGTGATGGGGCAGTTTCATCTTCCTTTACAGAATAAGGTGAGCTTAGTTGAAACTTCACTAGTTCTCGACTGTTCCAGGTGGTATTATATGCGAGTGATAAGGCAGAAACTTCTTTTTATGAAAAAATATTATACAGAGATTCAAAAAACAGTTTTCTAAACAACTCGAAAATTGTAAAAAACGGAGAAATCAACATCGAGCTGTACGTTACCAACGTTGAACTCCGCAAGTTCCGGGTGCGAGAACTGTCCATTCTCACCGATAATTCAAAACTGTTTTCCATTAGCCATGTTTACAAGGTTATAAACGAACCATTTCAAATATCACCAATTCATACATTTAATAATATTGTTTGGTTCGTATAGGTAATTATTGAATTTCTTCTGATAAACTTGTTTTTAGGTTTCTCAGTGTACAATCGATCGAAGACAATATTGTTGTTGTCTTGATCATAAGGCCATTACAACATTTGGAAAATAACGACGCTTATGGGTATCTACAAGCTGATGTAGAGCTGGAAATTGGAGGAGTTAGGATGCCTTCCATGAAAATAGTTAGAAAAAACATTTTTGTTTGTTTCATCACAATAGTTTTATCAAGCTCGACTGTTCTACAACTGATAATGCAAGTAATTATTTCTTGGAGAAAACTATTTTTGATGTGCCTAAGAGAGCGTTTCTCAGAGGCTTCGCACATTACATCAAGAAAGGAGGAATTCCCATCAGTGTATATATTCGAGATGTCCAAATTGAGGTGTTTAAAACGAATGAAGTCGAAGACAATGTAGAAGATCCAACTCCTTCAAATGCTACAGCTTGCTCGTTCTCATTTTTCGCTGATTTGCCTGCACATAATCAACTGTCTGTTCATGTGTTTGGAAACACTGAGTGGTAGATAACATCACTTTTCCTTTCAATAATCATCATGTTCAAGGCTGGTGGTTTCAAAAACAGCAGGAGAAAGTTTCGAAATAAGCTTACAAGTGAGATCGTTGAACGAGTTTCATGGAGACAAGCGTATGCAGGTCTCAGCTAATGTTAATTTAGTTATGGAATCAAAGGGATCCGTAACTATTAGAAGAGTACGTCCCTATCTCTCTGTCTCAAACCAAATATGTTCAGAGTGAGTTCTCAGAAATTATGTGGAATGGAGAGTCATGTAAAACACTTTTAACAAGTAAACAATCGAAATTGTTGCTTGATTCGTTCAGTGAACGACCACGGAAGTTAGATATATCAGTTTATATTTCAAATATAACAATCAGCGAGGCAATGTATGCTATTCTGTTATATCTTGTCTAAGACGAAGGATTTCAGGAATCTCAAACATGCTAATCTTTGGAGTACGCCTTGTAAAAGATCTGATATAATATTATTGGTAGAGGAGCAAGAATTGCATTGCCACACTCAAGTTAGTTATATTCTACAATTGCCATCCAAAGGTGTTTTTGAAGATTCTGATCTCACATTGTAAAGGCTTCGAGCGACTACTAGATGAAGCAAGGTATCCAAGCAAGAATTGTCTCGGTCAGACTGTCATTCAGAGAACAAATGATTGAAATTAGCTTAGATGTTGGAATTGGGTTGGAAGACTTCTTAGAATTCCTTTATCAAATATATAATATGGCAACTCCAATTACAGGTTGGGAAGGTTTTATGGTCGCGCCCTGAACATGAAAGATTCAGAAAAAAATTTGAGAATCCTTCTCTATTTTGCTGAAAAGTATGAAGATGATCAAATTCTATTGCTGTGCGAGAAATTCCTGTCTCATTGTTTTGAGAATGAAGAAGATGGAATTGTCAGATGTGAGCTTCTTCTTATCAGCTGGGTCTATAACTTTCATCAACTTAAAGTATAGTGTTCTCTTATTTTTCATATTCAATAATCAGATTCAGAAAGTTTTTTTGAACAGGGTATTGTATTCTGAATGTCCTCCTGCAATCCAACTAATGATGAAGAGCGAATATTATCAAAACATGGAGGAAAAGAACAAATTAGAGTTCACAGATTATTTATTCTCTACACCACTCAAAAAAATTCCTTAAAAGACTAAAAAATGAGATCTTTTCTAAAAATGAAAAATTTTTTTTCATAAATCATATTAGCTACATCTAGTCAGAAGTAGTAGAGAGCGAGTACACTCACCATCTATACTACCTTTCTTAAAACGGGTGAACAAACAGTTATTCTGTTCATATCTGTTACCGGCTATCCTTTACTTGTCGTCTTTGCCCTTAGACTCAACTTATCTTCGGGCAAATTGGGAGTTTTCGAGCCTGATCTCGATTTTTTCTACCGTCTCGAGCAATGAGTTCTATTTATTATCATTCAAATTTCAGACTTCGACTTGCTTCACAATAAAGAACTGAGCTTTAATTTTCAAATTCTCTTTTCACCAAAACTATTTTCTTATTCTTGGATTCATTTTTCTTTTTGCTCTTCATTGTCTTTCTAGGCAGGTTTCTTTTTCCTTCCTCGAAGAACGTTGTGTAGCATTTTCTGCTCACGACTTATTTCATCTAGAGACTCTCCATCTGAATCACCATCTAAAACTGGGAATAGCTGATTATAATCGAAGTTAGAAGACTCCAGAGATAGACTGAAATGGAGAATTAGAAACGCGCAACGATCATTAGGGTTTCAAGAAAATAAATAAAAAACTTCGATGTTTTAATGAATGTTGAAACCGTAGTGAAATAC